ACTTTCTGATAGATTACACAATCTGACTCATATGAGCTTGTTAATGACAATCCATGTAAAGAAAAAGCACCAGCCAGTTGATCTTAACAAGGCTATTAGTACACACAAACTACAAATGGAAATATAATGACCATGAAAGGAATATGCATGTGCCACTGCTATTATATTCTATTTATGCATATTGTTATCAGTACTTTCTAATATTATATGCATCTATAGGCTACATATTTACTTGCCCATTCATTTAATTATGTTTTATCCACATTGTCTTCAGTTGCTGAAAATGAAATTAGAAAGAATATTGGTTAAAAAATATTCAGACAAATCAATATTGTTGTTATTCTTCATGCAAATTAATGAGTCATATTATGCTCTAATGCAAGTACCAATAATAATAGGTGTGAGAAAGCTAAAACATTTACAGAACCACAAAACATTACACAAACACAAACAGAAAATACTCACTAGAAGCAGAAGAGTAGTCACTTGTGGAGGAAGCTACAACAAAACAGGAAAATAGTTATACATAAAATGGACAGCATTTTTTTATTGATAGATCTCTATAGTCTGAATGAATCTAATATGTTTTGTCTAGGACATGTCATGTATTACCTGAGTGACGCCTTCTCCTCCATTTAAAAACGCCAATCACAGTCATCAACACCAGTCCCAATGCCAAAACCACAAGCACTGAGGAAATCACCTGCTTAAATGTTTCCCCTTGACACTCTGAAGTATGAAGTTAATTAACATACATTTTTTACCAGTTACTTTTGTCTGTTGAATGAAATGGTTCCAAACGTAGCAAAAAGAAGAATGAAGTCAATCAGGTTTAAGCATCGAAACTAAATAAATAATCTAATGACCATACCCAAATCAATGTCCAGTTTGTTGTCCAGACTGAGGTGTGTGGCAGAGCAGGTGTATCTGTGTTTATCTGCAGCTCTGATCTCCAGACTCTTCCTCATCTGGTACGTCCCGTCAGCATTGGGCAGCAGATCTCCTCCAGTGATCTCATGATCAGATACAAGCTGCCCGTCTCTGAACAGGGTCAGGTTGATGTGACGAGGGTAAAATCCTGTTGCCAAACAACTCACACGAAACCCTCCAGAATCTGAGAAAGCTTTCTTGATGAGTCTCACTCGCGGTTTTACTGTCCAAGACAGGAGAAATGTAGTATTATTATAGTACCCTAGATGTAACACCCCTGTGGTCTGTTTGTAGTGGTTTCTCCCTCTGTGTCCTTATTTGGTTGTTCCTGTCCTCATTATCAGTTAATTATCCTCAGTGTGCTCACCTGTCTGCCCCTCGTTATCTGCCCTATAAGTTCCTGTCTCTTGTTTTCTAGTTTGGTCGGTTATTGTGAATGTTACCCTGAGTGTGTATGTCTTGTCTGCCTTGTTGTCGCTACATTAAATGTCCTTATTTGAATCCTTGTCATCCTGCCTGCCTCCACACACCTTGACCGTGACAGAATAACTGACCCTAAAAAAGTAAAGTATAGCGGCGTCTTTCCCCTCGTTTGTTTTTGCCAGTTTTTGTCAGTTTTTATTTTGTTTGTACCATGGATTATCCGGCGTTCCAAATCCTCCAGCTGGAGCAGGAGGAACGCGCTCTTGAGGACCACACCAACGACTTTCTGTCCCTGGCCCCCCTCACGCACTACCCGGACAACTGCCTCTGTGGCTTCTATCTGGTGGGACTAAACACCACCACACGAGCACAGTTGTCTGGGGATGGTCCTCGAGATAGTTTTATAAGTACATTTTATTTTTTAATGTATTATATATATATATATATATATATATATATTTGTATTAAATATAAAGTCAGTAATAAAGGTATATCTCTCTTGTACGTTATGTTTCACAGTTTTATAAATGTAAAAATCTTCACAAATACTTCATAAATAGTTTTATAAATATGTTTTATTAGATATTACATTTACAAAGTTTTACTAATTTACTGAAATCCTTTTTTCGTAATAGCTTGAATTTTGCTTTGAAAAGTTCAATTATTTTCCATCAAGTCATACAGCCTTTGTTTTCGGTGCCATTAAGAACATCCTAAGATTCCTAAGTGGGTAAAAAATAAAAGTCTTCGGTACAAATCAAAGTCATGGGCCTGCATGCTTGCTGGCCAGGTGTGTTGGGAATCGGTAAGCCTTTCATTTGCTGATGAACCTAGTGGCACTAGATCCATCAAACCAGCAGAAAAAAAAACACTGTCTCATCCACTTTGATCACTGGGGGCCAGATGATAGATGACTGTGAGTGTGGTGAGAGTGGTAAGACCAAAGTAATATAATGGAGGGAAAAAAGCCTCAAGCCTCATTCCACTCAACATTGGAGACACGAGTTCCTCTGAACAGTAAAAATGCATCACCACTATTTATTTGCTAAACCATTCACTTTCTTTGTGTTGTTTGTTTAACGTTACTTGTGTAGCTTGCATAACATATGTTTTCCTTATTTTTCCTTCAAAAACACATTTTAACAAAGAGGTTTAGGATAGCCTGCACTTGTCACCCACCCTATAGAGAATGAATGATGACCTTACTTAAGGATCACAGCAATCATGGCACTGCTGTCTCCCGTGTGTCATGGTGGCAATGTTCCTCAAGGGCAAAAACCCAGAACAGCACACAGACACTATCACAACGTCCCAGTAGCCACATTAATTACCATCCATGTGATTCAAATGAGATGAGCGACCATGTGGCCTCTCTTACTCTGCCCTTACACAACCCACCTCACCATCTCTCTCACTTTGAGCCTTTATCTATTATAGACTGTGATTAATGTTGTCATAGTCTCAGAACACCAACTTTATCAGCCCTTTTTCTGTTGGACTGCTGCTATTTTCAAGGGTGCAACTGAAGTGAAATTATGAACATTTTTCAGTCTAATTATTTGTTAATTTTTCATAGTTTCACAAGTAGGCATGGTAAGATCCAACTGTGCTTTTGTATATGTGTGTGTGTATACAAGTTCAAATTTAGTTCAAATTTAGTCCTACTAAAAATGATTTTCAATGGAGATTTTCTGTTGCAATTTAGTAGAGAATGGGTTTAATCTGTCCCTGAAATGGGCTCTGAATAATTACGCATTCACAGCTGATGTGGCATTACAAATTAAATAACAATTACGCTTAAACGTGTTATATGTATAATTATGCAAGCTTCATTCTTTAAACATTTTCAAAGTCTCGCCCTTGTAGACCTGATTTGGATGAGTAGGCTGTTTAAAATTACATCATTAGCCATTCCACTTTAAATATACAGTAACAATTGAGTAACTTTTGTGTTGTCTTAAGGAAACATTGTTAAGCTAGACTGCATAAGTGTCCTGATTCAACATCAGAGCTTTTCAGGAACAGGCAGCGAGGGAAATGGTGAAGCAATCTCACTGAAATAAATGTTTTCATCCCTTATTGGTCTCTCACTGTAATTTAAGCTTAGTTAAAGACGATTTGAATTACATTTTATCAGGGCGGAAACAATTTCACATCACAGTTGGGATAATGAACAAATCATTGTCAGTGTACTATGACTGTCTTGAACCCTTGATGTGAGGAGAATGGCTAAGAATTCAAAATTAGGTCTGGACTCCGGTATCTATGGCTGGTACTGTGCAGTATTCCTCTATTTCAGACATTTCTGCAGAATCATTTCAGCTTCCAAACAAAAATGAAATCTGACTTTTAAACAGACCTTAGAGGCAGGTTTTGCATGTCATAAGACTAAACTAAGAAACCCATATACTAATGTATTCTCCGTCTGGGCAAGGATGATGTTTTCTCACCACAGGCAGTCAGCATTCCACATAAAATGTTTACATATAGTCCACGAGAGAAAAGAATAGTTGAATTTATAAAAATGACCCCATTCAAAAGTTTGCATACACTTGATTCTTAATACTGTGTTCTTACCTGAATGATCCACAGCTGTTTTTTTTTTGTGTTTTTGATAGTTGTTCATGAGTCCCTTGTTTGTCCTAAACAGTTAAACTGCCTGCTGTTCTTCTGAAAAATCCTTCAAGTCCCACAAAGTCTTTAGTCTGGTTTTTCCTTCTGGAGCATCAGTTTTGAATAAATTTGAATAAATGCTGTTCTTTATTTTTAACATTTTATTCATCAAAATCAAAGAAAAAAGTATCATAGGTTCCAAAAAAATTTAAAAAATTAAAAATAAAAATATTAAGCAGCACAACAGTTTCAACACTGATAATAAATCAGCATATTAGAATAATTTCTGAAAGATCATGTGACACTGAAGACTGGAGTAATGGCTGCTGAAAATTCAGCGCTGCGTTAGAGGCAGGTTTTGCATGTCATAAGACTAAACTAAGAAACCCATATACTAATGTATTCTCCGTCTGGGCAAGGATGATGTTTTCTCACCACAGGCAGTCAGCTAATTCCACTTAAGCTCTATTAACCAGACATCTCTGCCGCAGACATCAGTAATAACCACATCTGAGACTAGATCTGTTCGGCTTTCATTGCTCCTGATGTACACCAGATCAAAAAAAACTTTTCATATGGTTATTATTCAAATAATGCAGTACACTTCAGGAGCAACTTTTAGATATTCGACTTTGAGTGTATATATATATATATATATATATATATATATATATATATATATATAGACAAAT